ACCTGTTTCCATCCTTTTCCACTCTGTTTTACTGAACGTCATCTGTGTTCCATTAGGCTCTCGTAGAATAATGATGATGGACTTGTCTTGTTCTTTTGAAATACGGTCAGTTTATTATGTTTCTCCCAAATGTATGTCTTAATGTTTCTCAGCCGACAAACTTTTTGTGTCTAACTAAACTAAAAGGAAAATGTTGAGCCCTGAAGGAGAGTATCTCTGATTAAAACCTTTAAAAGGTTGTCTTCAGCTCTAAATAACAACCGAGATGTCTGAGAGGAGAACAAAGGGGGTCCTTTGGGTTTTTTTCGATTTTTTTTTTTTTTTTTTTTTTAATTTTTTTTTAAAAAGAAAATGTATTTCCAGTTGTCTGACATGCTTTTAAATGTCTTCTGACAGACTGTTAATCAGGCCACAGCTGTACGTGCTATTGTTTATCACAGATGACAATAAAAACGCCTGTCCTTTAATTTTTCCCTTTATCATAAAACACAGACCAGAACTTTGGCCTGATATTTGCACGGAAAGTTCCTGACAAGAGTTGAATATCTACGTCAGAACTACAAGAGAACAAAGAACACAAGTGAAGCATCTGGAGTGCAGGGAAAACCCAAGAGTCCAGTGTTATGAGTATCGTCCGTCTACACCTCACGTCATAAAAACTGAACTTGATAGAGATACTGACAGATGCATCTTCTCTTTATTTTAGATTCTGGGTAGAAGGACACCTGAAGAAGCTGTAGTTAGAATGTCAAGAAAAAAAAAATCAAGAAAAGGAACAGATTCAGTGAAGAAACATTCACCTGAGCTGCAAATTGATCTAAGACAAGAAGGAAAAGCTCAGGTTCCTATCAAATATTATTGAATAAATCATGGAACATCTGTTAAATTTAGATTTTGTTTACCAAAGAGTATGTTTGAAAACAGCAAACCACATCATCTGATGTGAATTGTCTAATACACCAAATCTGTATTTAATCCTGTTGAAGCTCAGCTTCAGTTGACTTCTGTGAAGCAGCCTTTGGACAATTTTTCTCAATGTGAGGCGGAAATTAGGGATGTTCGATAATGTTGGCCAACAGATATTAGCATAGGTAAGAATCATTATGGGTTTTTCCTCCGATGATGAAAACCTGATAATGCAATGCCTGGGTTTTGCCAAATTTACTGGAATTGCTTGTAGGGGTCGTGAGGCGTTGACCTTTACTGGAATCGCTTGTAGGGGTCGTGAGGCGTTGACCTCAGATTTTGAGGCAAACGGCTACATATATCGGTATCGGATTTGGGAATTAATTGTTTTGACATAGCAACATAGCGAATATTGGCAAGAAGTCTATATTGGACACCCCTAGTGGAAGTCTATGCAATTGATGCAAAAATGCAGCTTCTACAGAAGCTGGGTCTCTGAATGATGATGGGACAAATTGTTCAGAAAACAACTTGAGGAATTTGGTAAATGTGATTGTACACTGGGTGACTTTTCTGGATATTTGACCATTGACTGAAACGGCCAAAAACGGAAATCCTGCCACAATGTTTGACGTTAAATCCCGGTTCCCTGCATGCGATTTGATCAAAGCCTGGAAAATGTACAAGCCAAGTTCCTTATCGGTAGAGCCGCAGCTTCTAGATTAATAACAAGTCTCCGACTCAGTCCTACTCAGCAATCATGTCCGATTCACATTGAGCGTTAACTACAAATAGATTTTCACTGGGCGTTCCAATAGAATGGAATGAATACCATTCACAACTTCATGATTGGGTCATTAAAATAATGGTGCTAACCAAAGACCAAACTGCTCGTAAACGTCAACAACACATTAAAAAACTTGGCGTTAGACGCAACCAGACAGGTCAGACTAGAGCAGGCTGTTTCTTTCTTAATTATGATCAAACGCCGACTTCAAAGACTGATACAGACTCCACCCCTGTTCAAAAAAGAATTATTAAAGGATTATTTTTAGATTAGCAAAATATGCCTTAAATGATGACGTTTCATCAAGAGCTTTTCGTAAACAATGCCAATTTGTGTTGTCTTTTTCTGTTTCTGTCTCAATACCTTAAGCATTTTCTCCAGGTATTAGGTTAGTTAGTTTAGTTTTATTAGTCATTTTCGTTATCAGTTACCAGACAGGAGGGATATTGTGACATCCCCACCTCAGAAATGCAGGTGATTTCAGTGTAAATGTGAATGTCCCTTGTACACATAGTGATTCAGAGTCATGTGGTTCACACATGCTCCCTGTGCCTCCTGGACCAGTTTATGAACATGTCCATCTCCATTCTGTTGTGGCCCCGCTGTAAATGAAAAATATCTGTTTCATTTCAGGACAGATCCTACGCCAGACACGGGCAAACAACGGCCCGGGGGCCAGATGCAGCCCGTTTTGGCTTTTTGATCCGACAAACCAAACTAACTTTAAATAAATTAAATTATTAATTCAAATTAGCATTGTACTTCTGGCTTTTCCCTGCAATCCCCATTAGATGACGTAAAAAAAGATCAATTTAAAAGAAAAAAAAGATGACGTAAAAAAGATCAATTTAAAAGAAAAAAAAAAACTTTTTAGCCTTTTTGCTTTAACTTTTACATGTCATTTATCTTAGTCCACACGAACCCTCCATTTCTCAGCTCCTCACCCGCCCCCTGTCAAATTTAGGACTCCACTGTGGACCACGAGTCACAAATGTTTTTCCCAAGCCTGTGCTAAACTGTACAATGTTTGAAGGCGTTAAGTGTTCTATTCTAACATTAATCATTGTGTCTTCTGGATGTTAGGACAAATTAATTATTAACAGACAAATTAACAGGCTTAAAAAGCAGTTGGATATGATATAAACACAAGATGAGAAGTAAAAAAAAAAACCCCACAAAAGTGCTGAAAATAATTAAATAAATAAAAAATCCAGAAATATTAAACTTAACAATAATCTTTTTTTTTTTAAGTTTTAGCTGCCCAATGGAATCATTTACTTTTCATTTATTTGTCATTTAGTAATAATAGAAAAGTGCATATTTTCTTTGAATGTTTTTATCTTTTTTAATTACTTTGCTGGATTTCTTCTCTGTTCTCTATTAATTCTCTTTTCTTTTTTTCATTTTTGTCAATTTTTTGTCAATCATTTTTGCTGCAATCCTGCTGTTTTTTTTTAATTATTAGTTATGTATTTATTTATTGTATGCATTTCGTATTGATTACATTAAGGTTAAGGTCGCAAAAAATGGGACAGAGGATCTTCGGTTTATGACACCTCAATCTAAGACTTTTCATGGTTACAACATCATCGCACATTTTTAAGAAAGTCTTTCATTCGTTCCATTCCGAAGTGGACGTTTACAACAATTTTCGCACGGGAACTAGTGGGCGAGCTGAGTACTAAACTGTCACTCGGACGTAGCGTGTTGCATATTTTGTTGGTTTTGCTTTTTATGTCCTTTTAGTTCCCGTATTCTACCTTTTCAGTTGTAGCTGCATGGTTGCACAACCACCGATTCCCGCTACTGATGCCTTTTTCTAATCAATCTCAGCTACGCCTCTTGGCATCTCGTGTGTGGCTCTTAATCGCTTTTGGCTAATTCTGTGCTTTTGTGTTTGTTTTTTGTTTTTATAGGGTGTGAAAAAATATGTTGGACGTGTGCGTGTGAGGGTATAGAAAGCTGCCAAAAAAAAACCCATTTCTGTCCGTCTTCAAACAGAGCAGCTGCGTCGTAACTGTCAAAACATGCAGAACGAGCTCCGTGTGCTGCACCTCCAACTTCCACCCATCGCCTTGAGACATCCCTCCCCTGCTGCTCCTCCTGCCCTTCCAGCTCCGCCAGCTTCTCCTAGTCCGACGACTCCGCCTTCTAACCTTATAATATAAGGCGCTCAGGCACTTCGGCAGTCGCATTCTCTTATCCTAGAGCGAGTGGTGGATGTTGTTCTCCTGCTCCTCCACAGTGGACTGTGTGAGACAGTGTCATGCTGTCCGTGGAACCATGCGGTGGTCTGTTCTTCTGTACCAGCTCCTGGCTCTAGGTCTGGAGACCTTCGCTCAGGATGACGTCACCGCTGCTCCTATCATTCCCCAGGACTGCAGTCTGCACTGTATCCGACAGGTAAGCACCAACACCGCTGTTTGTATTTGTTTGTTAGTTTGTGTGTGTGTTGACATCCCGGTTCATCTTTCATTTCTACCGTATTCTGCTGACAATATTTAGCAAATCGTTCACTAAGTTTACGCTTGTTTCTGGCTGTCAATACTTGTAGTTTTGTGTCGATGTTAAGCCTGGTTTAAACTGACAGACTTCTTCTACAGCCAACGCGCTATTTATTTATCTAATTGCTTGATTCATTTATACGCTTTCCCTTTTAAATGACTGTGTTAGGTTACACACTGGCAGGCCATCTCTAGTACACATTTGATTTGATCTTGAGGACAAATTTAATTACACTATCAGTTACTTCCATGAATGAATAATTTCAAATGGGATTTTAGATTTAAGTTTCATCGTTTTGTTGTGGATTTTATTAGTTATTTATTTTTTTATTATTTTATTATTTTATTAGTTTTCACGTAAAATCTTCTTCTATTACTGGGCCAACAGAGAACTGTAAGGTATTTGAATTTATTTCGATTAAGCTGAATAAATTAAGGTTAAGCTTTTTTTTACCCCGGAGTCATGATTAGTTATAAAATATAAGAGACATTTCAACAATTTGCGGTTAAACAGGTATTGCATGTTTCTAAATGCAGCCGTTTTTGTTTACCTGTGTTTGTTGATGTTTGTAGTTTTACTGTTTTTCAGCTTTTCTAGGCTCAATTGTAGTCAACGTTTGCTCATTATATTGATTTGTTTTGAAAATGATGGCATATTTACTGTAAACCTGTTGCGTTTTCGTTTGTGACCATTTTTTTTTAATTGCTTTAAAGTTTTTAAGTCCGCTGTGTAGTTACTAACTCACTCACTAAAAACCAAAATAACAAGAAAAAAAAGCTTGGAAAATGAACTTGAAATTTCTCACTCACTAAAAACCAAAATAACATGAAAAAAAAGCTTGGAAAATGAACTTGAGTTTAGTTATGAACATAAGGAAAACAAAAGTGCCAAAAACGTTAATGTTAAAAACAACTAAATAAATAATTCACTTTATTAATCACATGGTGGATGCGGCCTCATCCTGATGGGTTTGACCAGGAATTACTATCAGGATTCAACGGTGAGCTATTTGTTTGCTGTGCTGACGGACATGTTGACAGATGTGGTCAGGGTGGAGGCCACGGTTGTTTACAGATGACATTATCTTCTGTAATGAGGGTAATGGGTTGGTGGAAGAGAACCTGGAAAGGCGGATGTTTTCTTT